AAAAAAAAAAAAAAAAAAAAAAAAAAAAAAAAAAAAAAAAAAAAATCCAGTATGTATGTATTTTTCGAAGATAAATCGCATGCAATGGCGGCCTGCGGCAGTCGGCGATGTTAATGATTTCCCCTATTTGTAGGAATGACAAAGCATATGATAAGAAGATCGAAGATACCTGGGCAAAGAACCAATCAATTAGATTAAAACAATATTTTCCTTTTTTTGATTGTAAGAAAAGAATGGATGAAACATCAATCGCAACAGGGCAATAGTTTCGACGCCTTGGAGAGCTTATGAAAACAAAGGAGGGAAGGGAAAGAAGAAAAAAAAAAAAAGGAAAAAGAGTATAAACAACAGGCAACACCAACAGAAGGAATGGAAAAAAAGAGGTGGAAAGAAAAGAGGAACTGTGACAGGTCTGGGGTAGAACTCACCAAGTCATTAGTCGTTAAGTCGTCGCAGTAAGCAAGTAGATTGGTTAATTAGTTAGGTAGGGTCTTCTTGCGGTACCTGAAATCCTAGACTCGTCGAAAGTGTACGGAGAGGGAAGTTTGGCTAAAATGGGTAGTTTAGAAGTTAGTCGTAACTCCTGAAAAGCCGGTCAAAAGTTAATTGGCAGCCCTTCAAAAGTTGAAGCGAACCAAAACTGGGGCGATTGGATAAAATGGCGTACATTAACAGTGGAGGGGAAAATAGAAGTTTAGTATTGGTTTATTTCTTTTTCTTTTTTTTTAGTTCCCTATAATACAGAGTAATAAATTCTTTTCCCTCTTAAGAGAGGACGGAGTACGGGTGGGAAAAAAAAAAAAAAAAAAAAAAAAAAGAGGGGCGGTGCGTAATTAATCCAGGAACTCATTTCCTGAGGATTGATTTAGACACTATCAATATTCTTTTGATTATTTTACTTCTTTTTTTCTCTATTTATGATTTATTTCTTTTAAACTCCCCGTTACACTTCTACCTTGGTACACTTGTGGGTTTATCCAAGCCGTCAAAGAAAGGAACAAACTATAATTTTTTTTAGATCTGAGAAGAAGAAAAAAGAATGATAAATAAAATTGAGATGGACATACAAAGTATCCCAGGGGACCTAAAACCAATTAAGCATTATCTCCTTTGAAAAAAAAAGAAAAGAAAAGAAAAGAAAAAACGAAGAGAGAGAAATTGATCAAATACCAGCAAAATGAGAATTCTCCATACATTCCAATCTTCCATCATTACACAGAAAAAAAAAAACAAAAAAATCAGTAAAAAAAAAAAAAAAAAGAAAAGAAAAGAAAAGAAAAAACGAAGAGAGAGAAATTGATCAAATACCAGCAAAATGAGAATTCTCCATACATTCCAATCTTCCATCATTACACAGCGCTAGCGTCAAAAAAAAATAAATAAAATAAAATAAAAATAAAAAACATTCTGTAAAGATTCCCTCCACTCTTCTGAAACTGAATCCTATCAAAATACAGGAACGGAGTACGACGCCAGGGGGAATGCCCCCCAACCGCGCAAGTCTAGACTTAGATCGGCAACTTCCTTGGTCCGCACGTAATGGCGTTCCTCAGGCCATCATTACTTTTTCCTCCGGAGGTTTAATTGTTGGAACTATCAACACTACTAAATTTTCCCTCCGTCCCAAGGGAATTAAAGGTATTCAATAGCTCACTATATATCGATATCAACTTCTAAAAATGCGGATCGAAATTTTAAAAAAGAAACAATACCAGTTCCTGATTGGGGAGCTACTACCAATTAAATAAATAAATCAATACAAAAAAAAAAAAAAAAAAAAAAAAAACCCCTGTGCGAAACGTTTAAAACTTCCAAAGTTCTTGCCCCTGACAATACTGTCCACTAGTAATGCATGACGGGTGTTCGCACCGCTGGTAACCTTGGCTGTTCCCATGGTTCGCTAACGGGTGGAAAATCCAGGAACCGGACAAATTTCCACGATTTATTCACAGGGATTGTACTGGTAAGTAATCATTTAATTACTCGCTGGTTGTACTTGGTACTTATTGATTCAGTCCGCCTGTCAATGAAGTAGCTGCATGTATAGTGTATTAAGTTCAATATTGATATTGCTGTTGCGTTATCTAAAAAATCTTAATACTCGGATTGTATGATTCATGGATGTCTTAGGCTGCTTAAATTGACCCTGTGGACTATCAATATACTATGTCGCCTTAGTATTAAACGCAACCAAAAGAAAAACCTGATACACATCGAACGGACATCTGCCGAACCATAGCAGCTCAACAATACAATTAAACCATAACATACTCCTGAACATAAACATAAAGGGCCAGAACAAAGAACCTCGAATAAACTACTGGAGAACAATTATACAAGAACCATCCGCGCCTGAAAATCTACCCTAACGTTCGCGCGGAATCAAGCGAAATGACGAGCGGTGCCTAGACTTTCCTCGCACGTGTGGTGAGGAGACGGGTTGCGAAAGCTTGACACTGGAGTCGACACAGTCCGGCGCTTCAAATCGCGATGCGGGGCCCTCGTCCATCTGTCAGTGGATTTATCTCTCGGTCGCAGGGCGGTTACTTCCAATTACCACCTTAGAGGATTATCATTAAGGACAGGTGCTGTCATAGTGGGCCAAAAAAACATAAAATTAAAATAAAATAAAATTAAAAAAACGGCAGTATCGGATGAACTACTCGTTACAAGTGTTAGGTAGGTTTCGCAGGCATGCTCAGGAACCTTCCGAATATAGAACCAACATTAGAAGTTTCCAACTGCAAGCCCTTATTTCTTTGTCTTCTCCGCAAATGATTCGCTGACTACCCTGGAGTATAACATCACGATCGGCTCTTTCATCTGCTAACCCCAGAAATGCGGTGAAAGATCTTAATGCAAGTCGAAAAAAAAAAGAAAATGTAAGAAATGGAGTAAAAAGAAAAAGAAAAAGAAAAAAACCGCACAAGGTCCTAGCGCGAACCACTAAGGCATCAGTGTGGAACTGGAATCCTGGACGTGTCTCTTTTGTCCACATGGGTTAATCAATGTAGCAGCAAGTGACTAATATGTGAAGGCATATCAGTGTATCTATATTGCGGTTGCATGATGCACAGTGCTCCATAGTAAGCTTTAGTCAATGGATTGGTCCAAGCAGTCCGACCTCGTGCTCAAAAAAATATGAGAGCTAAACAGCATGTTGATCGCCATGACCCTTAATCCTGTCGGTCTCCGAATGAACGATATTCTTGCTATCCGAAAAGAGAGAGGTGAGGGGATTATAAGCCACCAGGACTCAATCAGCCCTCTTATTACCCTGTTTTAAATTAATAGAAATACTGAAGCCGAGGATGTCAGAGCAAAACAACAATCTCGCAGCCCTCCCTCCCTAAGAGCCGGGTCCACAACGGCTGCTATGAATAACCCAGGCATTTCCCGTTCAGGCAACTGGCCTACGCATCCTTCTCGACACAAATTCCGGGCATATTTCCTTTTTCATGGTGGTCATAATTCTAATGCACATTGCTAACCACGCTGCTCTGAGGAGCCAAGCTCGCGCCAATATTTTGATTGCGCCCTGGATTGAAATGAACCAAATGGGTCACCAGCACCAGCCGATCTTCTACCTGCCTGGCGCCAGCCCATATCCAGTCTAGCAATGATTGGCAAAAGGCCCGTGTCATTTCCGCTAGCTATCGGCTGAATTGTAAAGCCATTGCGACGGTTGCTTCTTTGAGCTTCCCCCGTAATCTAGCATGCAGAATAATTATTTCACCGCATGTGGTGCGTTCTTTTGCATGAACCCTAAGGGTATGACAGCCCGGATGTTTTACTTACCGCACAAAATACATACATGCCTTACCGAATCTACATACAAAACACCCAATGTTGACAGTTCAGGGCAGGCTTCTGCCTGAGAAGAGTGGGGTAGCATATCAATCGCGGTAACGTCCTGAAAATCATAATTAGAAGAAGGTTGTAGGCCGAGAACCGGTCTGAAAGTTTCAGAACCATAACCACAACCCACGCACTCCATCTGGGTAGAAATCTAGACCCATGGGTCTCTAGTTACTACTGAGCTTTTTGCTTGTTTGTCAAACCATGCAGATGTACGGGATGCGGTAAGGGACAAACGATTCAGCTGCCGGACGGTATTTAGCCACCTTGGATATCTGAACAGCGGGCAATCCCAAGGTAGACCATAGAGTATGTTGCTCTTTTTGTCCAAAAATAGGAGCATGATACCGGGCAGTCATCGAAGAAAGCAAGGGCCTGGTGTTCGGTTCTTATCCCAGGGATAGACAGACAAGAGGCAAGGATACAGTGGATGGCATCCATGAACACCTATCATTCAAACCAAGTAGAGCATGCAGAGCTCTATTGGTCTGCAAGGACAGGTACAGATCTCGGACAATAACCGATGTATGTATGTATGTACAATATGTACATACCTAAGCAGCGGCAGCATCGATAGACTTTCGTGTACTTGATTCGATGGTTCAATAGTCTTATCCCTCGAGGAACTCCAGCTGCTGAGTAAGAGGCCCGAACAGGTTCGTAGGATAGGAGGTAAGCAGGCTCAAATCCATATTGCCTTTCTGGGGTGGCGTTTGGGGTCATGCAAGGGATAAAATGTGTGGATACGGACAAGGGGCCAATTGAGATTCCGACCAGATGCCGAACAACAGTTGATCATAGGGTGAGAGCTTCTGATAGGTGAAATGTCAAAGCCAGGAGAATAATAGGGACAATTAATATCTGTCACATTTCTTCAAGGTTCGCACCAGATTATTGGGGAAGACGGGGAGGTTAAGTTTGCGGTTATGTGCCCGGAGTGCTCCGAATGCACCGCTACATGCGGGTGATTTTGCAATAACTCGATGAAGTCGGTGTAGTTACAATCAGAATATGACACAACAAACAGAGGAGTAGGATAGATAGAAATAGTTCAAGAGAAAAGGAAAAATAAAGTTAAAGTGCGCAAAGTACGTAGAAAAACTCGGTGGGTATCAGAACCACAAAAAGTGCGAAAAAAGAATCGACAGGACTGCGATTCGAACGCAGGCGCCCGAAGGCATAGCATTACTAGGGTAATAGCAGTGCTACGTGTTAACCACTCCACCATCCTGTCAACTTGTTGGTAGTTTCTGCTCTGTGTAAATTATATTCAGCATAATTAACTAGCTATCCATTGCTTTCATACGACCTACGTGTGCCTACCATCACACCATCCCCATTATCTCTGACACTCATCGTAGTCATTAGCTTCTTTCCTTCTAGATATACACCAATCTGCACGCCTAAATGGTATTCGGAGAAGTACGAAGCTAATATCATAACTTTGAATGTACTAGCTCTCTGAATGCTACTTGGGGTGCGCAGTTGAATGGCAGTATGGAATATGCCATCTCAGTGGTGCGTTGCAATAGTCTTCTATCATGATTCCAACTCCATTATACTAGTGACATCATGTGTACTGGGACGGGTCGCCTTGTAGCGTCATATGCTGTAGGCAGACCACACCTAGTACTACTCTCGAGGTAGCAGCAACAGCAGTAGTAATATGGGTTTAGATATATAGTAGTTGAACGACATCATTAACTACTAACAACTTGATCAAGAATCATATTCCGGATTCACCCACCCTGGCATAGGTGCCCTCGCCCGTAACAGAGCGCCATATCTTTGCAGACCAGCGAATATTACTGTGCCAGCCAGAAGTACAATCAAAGCCTGTGCCGTGAATGTCCAGGTCCAGCCTGAAGAAGCTTGCCAGTTGGCGACGAAGAACTGTACTATGTTAGAACCATTCTGAATGCCCTCAAACACAAGAGTCTATTATCAGCAATAGGCGTACATACGGGATTGATAAAGGCACTAAGGTTAAGAAAAACCGCGTAGAAGATGACAACACTGGTTGATTGCAAAGGGTAGCTGTCAATGATGTAGCTGCTTGTTACAGTATTGCCAATTTGGATCCCTGAGGCAACTACAGGATTTCATCAGCGATGCTTCACTAGGCGGAGGCAATCAAGCACTTAGAAAGGGAAAATATTGTTATCTTACACAAGAAAAACGCAACTTGGCCGACCATCCAGTGGTAGCTTTTGTCAATACTGATACCCCAAAGGACCAGACCGGCTATGGTGGCTCCAGTCAGTAATTGAATCATTCAACTTGTTATCAGCAACGAACTCACCAGCCGAAATGATTATAGCAGGATAAGCCAGCCATAGCCTCATCTCAGCAACCCTCACATCATCGTTCCTTTTGGCCAACCTTTGCACAATATAATCACTCAGACTCCCTGAGCAGCAGACCTCAGAGATAACAGTACCCATGAACAGCCCCAAGAATAACAGTCCTTGGATCAACGGTGAATATTGCTCGTATGCGGCAGGTACCATCGTGATCACTGACAGGACCCACCAGTACCAGGAAAAGGAGTAACCGATGACGGCGATGACAATGACAGGAAACCGGAAAATGAAGAGGAAGCGAAGAGCAGCATCCCAAGGTCTCGGGTGTCGTATCCCAGGAACTGGACGAAGGTTTAAGAAATTAAGGGACTTGGTTCGGGGTATCGAGTCTACATCTGCTGTATTTGATGTTGCCATGGATTTTTCTTGGGATGTCTCGATATCTGTGTCAGAAGAGCGTACCCCCGGTACATATTGAAGCATTCGGGTGCGCGGGTAAAGAGTTTCAGGCATTAAGAAGAGCTCGAGACAAAGTAGAACAGCGAAGAGAATTGCGTTAAACCAGTTGATCCATGCGGCACTCGCGAGATTGAAAAAGCCGCCGACTAATTAGACCAGTTAGAGTGAAAATTTTCAAGTACTCTAGTATACTCCGAGATAGAGAAGAAACATACAGGTGGGACCGAGAAGAAGTCCCGAATCAATGGCTAGAACCCACAAACCCAACTTCTGTCCGCGCTCATAGTCAAAAAACAGGTCGTTAACTGACATCATCAGCAACTTGACCGTATGTATTAAGCTAGGGACAGCCGAATATACATACCAACAGCCATTCCCACCGTCGACCCAGGACTAACCCCAAATCCCTGAAAAAAGCGAGCAGCCATATATCCTCCATAGTCACTAGCTACCGCAGCGCCAACGGTCGATACCAAGGAAATGCTAGTCCCTAGAATGAAGACAATCCGACGTCCGTATATATCACTCAATGAAGACCAAAATAGTGGACCCACAGACAAACCAAGTGCGGGGATGGCTACAGTCCAGTTTACCTGGGAATAATTGATGTCGAATTGGGTTTGAATATCTGGAAAGGAGGGAACAGTTGTAGTAGTGATATAGGTAAAGAGAAAATATCTGAACCAGTATAAGCATCAAATGGCTTCTGATAAGTAGAGAGGTGGGGTGTACTTCAACATGACAATTCCTAGAATGGAATGCTTCTGAAGCTTAGACCAATTTAAAGGATCTAGGGGGTCAGATGTCGACTGAGGATGAACCTTCCCGCCATTATGATCAACGGTATAATTGTCGCTTGGTAATGGCTGTGGAGCTTTTTCCGTTTCCATCTGCTCTTGAGGGGATTCTTTTTCTTTTGCGTGGTCCATTGGAGTATAATGGGCTTATACAACATCGGAGATGTAAGGCATTTTTATAAAAATACGATCAAGGCAAAAGAGTAAATAAAGCATGAATAAATGATCAGGGTCTGGATGCATACTTCCCAGTGCTTGAATCAGACCAGGGCAAAGGAGAGTTAGTTGGTATGGAACCATCGAATCAGACGACGGACCAATATCTGAAATGATCCTTATCTCTCAGGCAATGTTTTAGGGTTCAATCCCCAATGACAGAGTCCGGGGGCTGGAGTAATTGTTTCAAGGCTGATTAGCATGGTATAACATTCTGCTACCCAATAGCCCTTGCAATGACTTTCCGATTGGGCAACATCCCATAGGGAACTGATAAGGGGTATTAGTAGAAAATCTCGACGTGGGAGATTCCAAACTCCATTGGATGAGAGACGTAATGATACCCCAGGCCTTGGAATCATACAACCGCAGTAAAGTATACACCTTGACCGAGTAGGACAACTAGAAACCACTTGCTCAATTTATGATTAATAAATCTTGAGCACATTTATCGCCTTTATACAGTTGCTCTCGCTCAGACGTGAAACCCCAAGAAATGAACCATCTTTGACTGAATGTCAGTCACATTCGGAGCAACTGTCAAATTCTGGATTTAGGTCTAGAGAAGATGATCATTTCCTAATTGAGTATTGTTTTAGAGAAACCTAATACACGCAGAAACCTGCATTTATTAAATTTTGATTTGCATCATAGCTGATAAGAAACTTGTACAGGCGATGACGGCTTGCCTCTTTTACAACTTGAACCTTATCATGGATCTCGGCAATGTGGGTCATGTCGGTGTTGTCTTCGGGGATGAGGCATATTCAAGCTCTAAGTCCATCGTATGCTTGTCGAAAAAAGAATGTATGTGTGTATCAGTATGTATAGGGACGTGCTGGGGTCTACTGCATGAAGGGGCTGCTGGAACCTGTAATGAGCCTGGTAAGTCAAACCCAGGCTCCTCATATAACCTTGAGATAGGCCTTCACAGACAGTCATAACTCCAAATTCAACTCTCTCTTCGTTTTACCAGCAAAAATGTACAGCGAACCGTCTACTCTTCACGACACCCTATCGAGCACCGAAGGTGAGCCAACGGAGTATACGTCTCTCCTCCCAAAACCGGCGGACGTCGAAAACCCCCATGATGGAATTGTTCCTGACAATTGCGGCTATACTAACAAAATGTCGGGGCATTGTCTCGCCGAGTTTTGGCTTCTTCTCAGGGGAGCGATTCCCGTTATTCTCGCTTATACACTTCAAAACAGCTTACAGACCATGTCCGTACTTATTGTTGGACGGTCTTCCCCCGAGAATTTGGCTACAGCTGCGTTTTCAATGATGTTTGCCATGATCACGGCATGGATGATCGCATTAGGTGGAACGACGGCCTTGGATACGCTGGCATCATCGAGCTTCACGGGTAGTTCGAATAAGCATGATCTAGGGATTTTGTTGCAGAGGGGCTTTTTTGTTCTAGGTCTCTTTTATCTCCCTGTTGCTGTTCTTTGGGCATGCTCCGAGTCTGTTTTTTTGCTTCTCGGCCAAGATCCCCAGCTTTCTAGAGACAGTGCAAGGTTCTTAACTTGTTTGATTCCCGGTGGTCTGGGATATATCTATTTCGAAGTGATGAAGAAGTATCTGCAAGCTCAGGGTAGGCTCCACCTTTACGAGCAGTTATCCCAAGTGCGGACACTAACCATCCGGTTCTGCTAGGAATTATGCGCCCCGGGACATACGTGCTCTTGATTACCTCTCCGTTCAATGCCCTTCTTAATTACCTGTGTTGTTACACATTTGAGATGGGCCTGCTTGGTGCGCCTTTGGCCACTGGCGTCTCGTACTGGCTGTCCTTTGCCCTGTTAGTCCTGTATGCCCGGTTTATAGCGGGGTCCGAATGCTGGGGCGGTTGGTCGCGAGAGGCGTGCCAGAATCTCGGCGCTTTCTCCCGCCTGGCCTTTCTAGGTATCATTCATGTCGGCACCGAGTGGTGGGCATTTGAGATTGTGGCTCTCGCAGCTGGCCGCCTAGGGACCGTCGCATTGGCTGCGCAGAGCGTTATCATGACTGCAGATCAAGTATTGAACACCATTCCATTTGGAGTAGGTGTTGCCACGTCGACACGAGTGGGTAACCTTCTGGGCTCTCGAAATGCACAGGGGGCTGCGAAAGCAGCTAACATGGCCGCCTGGCTCAGCATTGTTCTGGGAGGGGCAGTATTAGCAGTTCTGATGGGGACACGGCATAATTTTGCAAAGATCTTCAACTCAGATGAAAGAGTGGTACGTCTCACAGCCGAGATACTACCGTACGTTGCGCTGTTCCAGATAGCCGATGGGCTGAACGGCAGCTGTGGAGGCAGTCTTCGTGGTATGGGTCGACAGCATGTCGGAGCGATAGTTAACATAGTTAGTTACTATTGTGGTGCATTACCTCTCGGCATCTGGTTAGCATTCCATGGTTGGGGCCTTAAGGGGCTGTGGGTGGGACAGTGTATTGCATTGTACCTGGTGGGT